GGGGAGATCAGCTGGGCTCCCAAGCGAGTCCAGAAATGGCTCGAGAGCAGGAAAAGGAGACCAGATTGTTTGTTTTATGGTGGCTTGGAGGTGGGGCTGGGTAAGGGTTTCCATGCACGAGCTAGGGCTTATGCGGTTTAAACTTCCCTCTGTCCCCAAAGCTGGAGTACTCAAGCTTTCTTATTAGCATGTCGAGTTATGGGGCAGAAGATGAAGGGGGAATGGTAGGTTTTGAAAGCCATCTGCATCAAACATCAAAAAGGGAATAAGACTCCATTACAAAGCTATATTAAGATTATAAGACTCATTTGTCTTAGGCTTTTAAGGGGAAGCAATTTGATATTTCAGGATTTTTAAAAAGGCTGAAAATTTATTTCTGAGACACTGTCATTAGGGATTTTCAGTAAAAATATATATTAGAATATGGGAGGGGTGTATTTTCAAACTATACCTTCTTCCTCCACCTCAGTTTCTCTCCTGTCTCCAAGGAGACTCTGATCCATACCCTATGACCTCCATAAAAATAAAACCGCATTGAGCCACGGTTACCAATAGGAGATAAGTGATATGGTTTAGGGCAGGAGAAAGAGAAACATTTGCATTATTACTTAAAGGGTCATGGATGCATGGATCACTTTAGACCTTTGACTTTCTGTAGCGTCCCCTCACTGTGTGTAATTTGAACTTCCTGCTGGTACCAGCTTCTCACCCTTCCCTGTAATGATGTACTTTTATGATGCTCCCTCTACTTGCAAGGCCCTTCGGCAACCAGCCTCAACTAGAAGTAGTCTTTTCTCAAACACTTGGCACTCCATTTCTATCTTGCACCATTTATCTTATTCTTCAATATATTTGTATTATTTTTTATACACTTTCTCTCTCCAGCCAGACCATAAGCTACCTGACTACAAGATTCATGATTGATTCATCTTTGCATTCATTATTCATACAATTACTGCTAATAATAATAAACAGTGGGTGTCTTATACATGCTTGAGTGAAATAATGAATAGCATCTCAGATCTTAATATTCCATGAAGATATGCAATGACATTATAGTTATAACCAGGTAAACTGAGTAAATCACCCAAAGAAATTCCTGGTATTATCTGTAGAGGAAAGACATGTGTTTGACATATACATACACTCATGCAAACTCTTCATGTTTTCCATCGGGAGTTCAGTTACTAAATAATGAGCCTTTAGGTTTGATGTGCAGTCTTCCTAATAGGAAACATCATTGTGACTTTTTCTTCTGCCCCTCTAGCAATCCCACTCTTCCTCCAATAGGCTTTTAAATTAAGAAACTGAGCAGTGTTGTTGCATTACCATTATAGGTCTGAAATCTCCCCCAGTGTTAACTTGAAAAATGTGCATCAGTTCACCATGAGGGGAAAGAAGCCTTTGCCCCCTACAGTGGAAGTCACATTTTTCTGAGCACTTCGCTTTCTGAATTAGATACTTCCACATACACTGCCCCCATTATCTTTTAATTCTCACAACAGCCCTTTAAAACAATCATTTCATTTTACCATGTGAGAAAACTGTAGCTCGACAGAGTGACGATAGCTAATAAGTGACCCAAGGTCGAACTGGTTGGGGTAGAGTAAGCGATTGGACCAAGGTGGGGTTGATTACCAAGTGTGGGTTTTTTCTACTACTCTTATGTAAACACAAAATTATAGCAAGAATTATACAGAAACATTGAGAGGAAACTCAACCACAATTCTAGATGATTAAAAAATTAATTAAAATCATAGAGCCAGAAGGGAATTTTAGTGATGATCTAATCCAACCTCCTTATTTTATAGATAGGGAAATTGGCACAGAGGTCTGGTCACCTGAGGCCACATAGCTAGTTAAGAGGGAGAGCTGTGATTCAGACTCACACCAAGTCCACTGACTTCCCCAGTAGAGCACACTGTCAGTCCCAGAGCTGCCTCGCCAGCTTGAGTTAGCCAGGGTACGATGAATATTAATTATATTGACAAGAGAAAGCCGTAAATGTGGTCTAAGTGTGTATTTTGCTAAGCAGCCTCCTACCTCACCATTGCCATACTTGTAAAACTCATGCAGGCATCTCCTGTTGCATATCCGTAATTTGTTTGGAGATCTCGAAACGCTGCACGTCCTGCGTGCAAATCAGCAGCCTAGTCAGGTGCAGGGTAGAGCACTGACTTTCACACTAGGCTCTGCCTTCCATTGCCTCCTACAGAGCTGGGTAACACTTCGCCTTTAAGAGGCCATTAATTGGTACTGCATTAAAAGTATAACTACTTAAGCATTACTGGCCTTGCCCACCGGAACACTGTAAGACTTAAGCCGTTTATCCTGCTGATTGGAATAATGGAGTGCCCCTCTGTGGACTGTCTCCGGCTGGAGTGTACATCAGTATCGACCCGCACAATCATTAAGACACTCCTATGCCTGGCCTTTGAGGAAGTCCAAGGCAATGGAACACGAGATTTCGAAAACTTCAGATAGAAAAGACTATGAAATAATTTATGGGAAATTAGATACATATATTACTAAATTATTCTTTTCTGAACACCTGGCACAGTGCCTGGCTCACAGTAGGCACTCAATATAATATTGAATGAATCAATGCTCCAAAACCTTAAATTCTATATAATTACTCGGAATAATAAAGCAGGGGCTTAACCAACCTATAAGTCATTTGTCTGTCTTTAGTT